GTACACAAAATGAACGGAAAACAAATATGTAACACATAAACAAACGACAACCACTGAATTACAGGCTCCTGACTTGGGGCAGGCACATACATACAGAATGTGGCGGGGTTAAACATGTTATCGGGATCCCAACCCTCCCCTAAACATGAGACAGTGGTGTAAACTACAACATAAGAACGAACTATAAAAAAAAAACAGTACAACAAAATAAAATATGATATTCAATTACTGTTAATTCTACAATTGATTTAATTACATTGTTATTATCTATATATGTATGCAATTCAAATCTAACGATTTTTTTTCTAGAAACTAAAAGTTTTGAATATTTAAGTGTAATATTAATGAAATTAACGCAATCTCAATTGAGCAAAGGGCTTAACCACTAGCTAATTATAAAGGATAACAGGTTATATTCATGAAATTTTTATACGCCAGAGTAAGTTAACATTTTTTGGTTTTTGAAGCTAAAATTTTAGCCTCAAAATCAGGTAGCCTTGAATTTTACTGACAATTAGTTTGATCGTATATTTTACTGCTTAATATTTGACGTCAAATGGAATGTTAAAGTTATTGCAATCAAATTATAAATTTTAATTTTTACTGTAGGATAATTTTGAATAGAGCTGTCATGAAGTTTTACTGTTTTCCTTAATAGATAAAAGATATTTAGCTTTACTGTTTAAAGCTTTATTGCAGTTTATATAATACAAGAAAAAAATAACGTTTTCAGCCAAAACACACGCAGTTATTTAATTCATTACATGGTAGTTCAGAAGATACTTGTAAGTATTCAGAAATTGAAATAAAACTTTGTGAAAATGTTCAAATCTCGTAAAACGAGTAAAAAGAGACAAATAAAGGTAAACAAAAACTGAGTGAATCGCATGAGTTCCGAAAAAATGACAACAGGGTGAATCGCATGAGCTCAGAAAGGATGAAGTCAGGGTGGATCGCATAAGCTCTGAAAGGATGACGTCAGGGTGAATCGCATGAGCTCCGAAAGGATGAAGTCAGGGTGAATCGACAAGGTAATTGTCTCGTGCTATGTTTGCATCATTGATACAGAAGCGATCTTAATCCTCTTTGCTTTCGTGCCAGATAGTTAAGCAGTCATCTAGATGTCGTTTTAATATTGTTTTATGTATTTCTGTACATGGTGATCATAATTGGTAACGAGAGGTTATTTGTTATTTTATAAATCACATTATAGTTGAAAGCTTACGTTGGGTTACGTTCGTGCTAATCGCGTTTCATGAAATTTACAAGTGGACTTTCCCATTAAAGATGAAATAATTGTATTCCAAAATTGTCTTTCGTTTTCTTATCAGAAAATGTTTAATCTTCTTCATAGATATAACCATGTTAGTTCCAACCAGAATGTTCAGTCACCAATATTATTGCCCAGGACCCAACATATCGCGTGGCTCAAATGAAGCGGTTGCTTTTTTTGAACCAATCCTTCATAAGTTTTCGAAGGTTTAAAAACGACTTAGTCAGTATTTATTTTAAGTTTGATGTCTGCTATTATCAGCCATTGGCGATGATGCGTTGATAATAGCTCATTCATCAAGAGAAGACGTTCAGGAGTTCCTTAAAATAGCAAATGATCATCACCCTTTATAAAAGTTTACCTATGAAATTGAAAACACAGAAATAATTTTTCTGGATACAGTCGTACACATAAAGGGGACACCGGTATTCTTAATATAAAAAGCAACACACAAGCTATAAATAGACATCAGTATTTATATAGGACGCCTAAGTATAACACACAGTCTTTCCTGTATTTGTAAAAGCGGAAACTTATCCCCACCATCGACATGAATAACAGTGAAACGCAGAATCTAAAAGATACAATCGGTAAATTCAAAGGTCATCTTAAACAATGAGATATAAGGAGCATGAGAAACATTTCGAACGATCAGAGTTACTCCGCTTTAAACAAGAATCTGATAAGCAGATATCACTGCTATTTGTAACCAACTACAACTGTTCATTAGAAAGATCAATAAAGCTTTGCATAAACATTATATAAACTATTTATAGTAGACAACGTAACTGAAAATAAATGCTGACTAGCTCCATAGTCAAAACTTAGAAAACTTTGGAGGATCGAGTCAGACCCCTGAACAAGCACTAACCCTTCTTTGAGCCACATTATATGTTTTATTTATTCTCTAGTTTATACTGTCCAGCTTCTTTTATATGTTCAGTATATCTAGGTCGTCTATTTTTATATGACTTTTGGATTGTCAACCTGTAAGGTCCTTTCCTTCATAGTTTATAATTTCCTGTTTCAGTATATCTAGGTCGTCTATTTTTATATGACTTCTGGTTTGTCAACCTGTAAGGTTTCTTCTTTCACAGTTTATTATTTCTGGTTCACAAAACCAGTCAAATAACGTATCAATTTGATTCCACTTGAAGCTCATTTCAACAATGTATGTCTCTTTAGTGATTCTCTATGCCACAATATTTGAAAGTCAAAAACTTAACACAAACGTTGAGGAGGTTAACAAGAGACAGAAGATACAAAGGGGGCAACAATCATATGTCCTATAAAAACTGCCAATTCAATGACAAGAAAGAAAAAAAACGACGATAACACAAACAACAGGAAAAAAATTAGTATCCATATACCAATGGAGATTAATGTAAAATAATGGACTCACCAATCTTGCTCCACGTAATAAACATGATAGTTGGTGCATAAATAACCGTTATACATGTTATAATTTAATATAATAATTAGCCATTTCAGAAGCTAAAGGTCTATACGAAAACATATTGATCAAATCTTTAACGGAACATAATTTCACGTCATTTGATGTACACTGTATTTGGAATGTGTTTGGCGGAGTAAATTAGAAACAGTGGTTTACCGATTCTCATCAATCCATTTGGATTATACAACTCTAAATAAAAGCAAAAACTGAAGGAATCGATAGTGTAAATAAATGACAGCCATTTTGTGTATGTTATTGCTAATTAGGCTAGAATGATTTACATTCTGAAACTAGGAATCACGTGTGTCTGTCAATTACGGTATGCCTACAATTATCGAAAATCATGGTAACATTAGAAACTATCGCGAATGTTGTGCATCAATTTAATATTTGAGCTAGATGCATAATGCATTGTTCTACTTTAATACAATATGTATTTGGTGTTCCAGAAAATCATAAACTAACCGACATAAAACAGTCTATTTTTTCAATATCAAGCGGTCAGTTATGGTAAGAGTTTCACATCGAGATTGACAGCTCTAATCGTATGCAAATGTTGAAAGACGTTAAAATTTAGTCTTCGAAGGATTCATTAAGTATAGATACGTCTCGATTTAAAAAAAATGTCTTTTCTGGTGGAGGTTTGGAGTGTTGTTTCAATCTCGTTATATTGCTGTTTACTCACATTTTCATTTATTGTTTACTTTGTTTAAAGCGAATAGGGGTTGGCACATAATTTTCCACCCACATAAATGAATTTTTATAAAGGAGGAGGTAAGATAAGAGACAATATTTGACACATAAAATGGCAAAAATAGAAACATTATAGAGGTTTCAAACTGTTTCTATTCTTTATGTCTTATTGGAGTGTGTTGTCTCTGGTATGAATAAATTGAAATCAAATATATCTTGAATATGACAACCAATAATCAAATTATTTAAACCAGTTTGAATGGTTTTACAAAACGGTTTTAGTTTGCGATTAACCAATAGGAATACAGCTTAGCCAGAAAGCAACCTCTACATCCCAAAACAGCACCTCAGATTTAAACATCCGATGGTTGTTTCTTTTTTGCATGTTGTAATGTTTTATTGCTGCAATAATTTCTTATGTTAATTATCTGATCTTTCAAACCAAACACGAATGAGATTCACGATTGCATTTCTTTTTTTTTGTATAAAGAAAGCAACGTGTTTGTATATTATGTACACATGCTTGTTTCATAGAATAAGGTTCATTGATGTAATTTTCAAAACCTCAATAGCAACGTTTTGCTTGGCAAACTAGAGCAAATAACATCTTCCTTTCATGCCTGAATTAAATGTACATATGTTTTTCCATTATTCGTCAGTTTTATATAGTTTTAGTTGTAGATTCTATCTTGTTCGATATATTACATTGGTTCTTATCATCGTCATACTTGACTTGTTATGTTTACTTTATCTGCTTAGTTTCAAACGATTTAACCTTGTTAATTTTCTTTGTCGTAAACCACATGTCGCAGATAGAAATCTCGTCTTTCCTTTCTCGATTGTGACATACTTTGCTTTTTACTTGTCATGGGTAACACGACGGATGCACGAATGCACGTATAGGAACTAATTGAGGTATTGACCAATTTTTCTTTTGAGTGTTGATCACATTGCTAAAACTGTAGTTTTCTTTGGAAAGTTTCGTTAACTTTTGCATGTCTTTTCGTCTTTATTCTCTGGGCCATCGTGTTGTCTGTTTCAACTGAAGGTTTTCGATGGCTCCTTGGTATAGAATTATAAAAAAGATGGAGTGATCAAACTATAGATGTTCGCAGAAATTATCTGTACCACGTTTTTTATCCATGTTTCTTTCATTGATTCTATTCGAATACATTCTAAATATTTTCCTTTTGTTTTTCGGAATAACTATAGACTTGTTTATCAACATATTAGATACCTTCATTTGATATCATTAAATAAAACTTCCTCTTGAAACACGTAATGAGTACGCGTTAAAGAGTGAACAATATTTTGTAATGACGAAACCTACAAAACAAAATATTCAAACTGATGCAATTTCATAGAAATCATTTTCTTATTTCCGATTCCCTATTATTCGCCTTTTATGAGAACGTACCAACCTATACAAAAACAGAACTTATATTTTGATATAATTATGTTCTAGATATTGCAAATAATTGTGTTTAACCTAATTTTGCTAAACAGTTTATGTTGATTTCAAAATGCATGTATCTAGCATCAATTGTATCTGATATTGCTTATTCCAAAGACAATTCATTTACATATCAAATTCATTGTCGATATATGTTGTTTTTAACATCAAAATGATAAAAAAAATATAATAGATGATCACCATTTTGGCATTGTTATTGAGATATTACCTGGAACGTAATTAAACGTTTACCGGTGTTGCTATAGTCTGCCTATCTCACATTGTTTTCATTTATCCAACTTTAAACATAATAAATAATAAACATTGATTATATTTCCAATAAGTGATCGGAAGATTGGAAACGAATACAGTTCATCCAGTTGCTGGTAAACTTTAGACGAATTTACATATTTTATGTTATTAAACAGTAATGCATACAAAAAAAATCATTTCTTTCAATTGAAGGAAAAGTTTAGAAGGTTGATACACAATTATGCATTTAACAAATTCAGCATTATTATTTCTTGTGATCCAATTCACAGAAATGATTTACTGTTTGAATATGGCTGACGTTTGCTCGGCTGATGATGACAAGTGTAAGAAACCGAATCTTTCTGGGGTCGGTATGATCGAAAAGGGTATATGTTCCTGGACAGGAGTACTTCTTAGATTTCGCCAGCTGTCACTGCTTGAATGTGCGAAGGAATGTTTCATTACGTCACAATGCACGTCTATTAATTACCGAAAAAATTGGAAATTATGTGACCTAGTGATGTCCGAAACTGATGGAAACAAGATTGCCAACGACTCAACCTGTATCAAAAGTAATATTACAACATGGAAAAAGGTATTTCAGAACGTCTTCATATTTTAGGCAAACTTCTAATTATTCTAATTATATCATATAATCTTTAAAGTATTGTCCCCTGGTTTCATTTGCATTTAATTACAACATAAACGGTACAATTTTTACTACACCAGATGCACATTTCGACAAAATGTGTCTATTCACTGATGTTCGAGTATAAACATTTGAGATTTTAGATTTTATACATGCAAGTCTTGATTAATGATTAACCAATGCAATTTATATTTTTTTTTATATTAACATCCTAATTATTTGAAATATTTTTAGTGTTTTTTTTTTTTTATTTGTAAATAAAATTTAATCATTATAAATGAAAATATTATTCATCTCAAATGTGTCATTGACTGGGGACAAACGAAATTTGTGCATTGCATGTTCTTGTCGCAAATTAATAGTCCTATCATTTTAATAGGGTAAGGTGGAGACATAATTTTTGTCATATTAAATTAATGTTTTATTCGCATTTTAATGGGTGTGTACATTTTTATCGGTGTATTGTTTTTTCTTCATTCTAACAATACTGCATTGATTTGATGATTTTCGTTTGTAATCTATTTCAGTCATTGGCAGGAAACTGTGCAGACCACAACTGTGAAGAAGGACAAAAGTGCGAATGCAATGCCGATGACAATAGATTTAAATGCGTTGAAGCATGTAAGTTTTATTCTTATTATTTATTTGACATCAATAATTTGCTGTTGAAACGGATAAAATGGGTGCTGCATGGATAAGACAGTAATCAGACGATACTTGAATAGTACTTGTTGTAATGTTGATATTTACCATTCAAAGTTTTCTGCAGAGCCAAAAATTTGGTTATCTCAATTTGTTATTTGTTTGAAACTTGTAAAAAAATCTATAATTTCCTCAGGATAATTATTGTTGAATAAGTTTGATAATTCAATAGATATCATTTCTAACAAGTGCTTTATTTAATAAGCTTATATCTTATTTTGTAATGGATTTAATAATTGTTTTGGACAAAGTAAAATATCTTCAAAAGATATCAACGTTTTTTTTATTTCTGTGTACACTGAAATTTTAGAGATAACATTCTTTAAATTTAAGTCACGGGAAAATGACTGCGGTTTATTATTCGTTAAACATTGTTTAATCATACTTACGTTTCGATAAATAAAAGAACCCATACTGTCCATTTAATATTCAATCTGTTTTAGAACGTCAATCGATAGTAATGATGTGAAATTTCACACTCTCACAGAACCATGCCAATATTCTTTCATATTGAACCTGTTGCAATGCAAAACTTTAATTTCTTCCACTTTTTTTCTTTTTTTTCAATGGAAATCAGCCCCTCCCCAAGTCCATCGAGTTTTAGATTCCCTTAGCGTATACATATTGTAAAATTATTTTCGTGTAGAATATGCATAAAATAATGGTCACATCATAAAGTTACGCGTATATTGACATAGTTACGGGCATATCTACGTTTTCTACAAGTGGCCAATACCAAAAGAATGTTGCAGTAATCACAAACATGTTTAACCCAACCACATTATATATGTGTATTTCCCAATTCAGGAGCCTTTAATTCAGTGGTTGTCGTCTGCCATATTTGCTTTTCGTTTCTTGTCATATCATTTATCAAAATGCGTGCAAAATTTAAAAGGAATTTTACAAAATACCTAAAATATTTACAAAGAATAAAATTTTCCTTAAATGAAGCAAATAAAAAGTATTGAACATTGCTTAATTCAACATCATATATTTTTTAGATTTTTTACAATCAAAAGTTAGTTCTAACGAATTTATTAAAAATTTCAACAAGCACTGTAATAAATAATTATTTATTATTTCATGTAAGAAAAATTTCAACGCATAAGTTTTCATATATCGTCTGCTTACTGTAGCAATTATGCAGTAAAATTGTCAAAGAGATAGCAACTCGTCCAAAGAGTTGAAAACGTTTGATTGCCATGATCTGTTACACATCCATCCTCTTTTAAGGTGTGTTTTTTGTTTTGGCAAAGTCAACGGTTAATGATACATTATATGGTCTTATTACTAGTTCCACAACCATGACCATCTGTCAAATATTGTTCTGGTAAAACACTTAAAATGATTTAAAAAATGGGTTATCGTAAACAGCACACAATGGAGTCTCTTCTTTAATTACCTGTGATCCCAAGAAAGTATAATCACGATTATTTTGACTTACATATTTTGACTGACAGGGGTGTTCCAGAAGTCCTAACATGTCCTATGTAAAAACTCAAAAATCTCCATAGGCAGTGAAGATAAAGTTTATGATAGTTATGCATAACAACCGATACAAACACAGCCATGTATTGTGATCTGTCAAAGTCTGAAATGTTTTTTCTTCTGACGGATGTATAGAAATACACTCATCATAGATACCAGGATTAAAATTGTTTACATCAGATCTAGACACGTTTTGTCTACCATGAAGTCCGAATCAAAAAAGTATAGAGACCAAGTAAAGAACGAAGTTCAAGCGCATAGAGGCAATTTGTTGAATTTTGTTTACAGTCATTTTTCAAATAAGCCGAATTTTTGTCGTTTCATTTAATGCCTGTCAATGTTAAGCATTGTTTAAATTGCCTGAAAATTCATGCATTTTACAAAATGCCTAAATGTAGAATATGCTTGTAACACATATATAACTCGTCAATTATATCAATATATTAGAGTAACAACAAATCGTTGCGTTCATTTGTTCAATGTTTTCTTTTTATATGCTTTCTTCTTGCCTTTGCTTTATATTATTGGACAATTTCGTACTATATTTGGCCAAACTGGCCCAATAGGGTATGCCCTTAAGTCACGTTAAAAGAATGCACTAGGACACTAGGTCACTTCTAATCAAACTATTTAATTTTAAACTGATATGACACTCGACTTTGAACTTTTTTAAAGGTGACATGTCTTTTTAATAGAAACTTCAGATTGCAAGATTACCCGCCAAAACCAACAGGCGGTACTCTAGGTGTAAGATGTGATTTACAAAAATACTTGTTTAGAAAATGTGGCATAGATGTTTGATGGGAGTCTCAGTTTTGTAGTCGCTGCAGTCATCATTTTATTTAAATATAAACATAAGAAAATGTGGTATAGAAGTTATCAACTATGATGCCTTCAATAATGAGTTAACCCTATACCCCAAGGCACGCTATTATATTTGAAAAGTTTTTTCGAAATGCAATTTGAAGACCTACAGTTGGGTGCAGACCAAGCATTACATGAAGACGGGCGAAAAAGAGTTAAATGCGGCGTTTACTCGCGTGGACTTCATGTAAACGCCTCGTTAAATCTGCGTTAACTCCAAAATTTCCGTAGACATAAAAAGAAAATCACAAAAATACTGAACTCCGAGGAAAATTCAAAAAGGAAAGTTCCTAATCAAATGGCAAAATCAAAAGCTCAAAGACATCAAACGAATGGATAACAACTGTCATATTCCTGACTTGGTACAGGCATTTTCTTATGTAGAAAATGGTGGATTGAACCTGGTTTTATAGCTAGATAAACCTCTCACTTGTATGACAGTCACATCAAATTCCATTATATTGACAATGATGCGTGAACAAAACAAACAGACACAATAGGTAAAAATGTCAAAAATAAGGGTACAACAGTAAACATTGTGTTATCATCTCAATCACTATAAAAACAAACAAATGTATCACAGAAGCACAAAAAAGGCATACATCAAATTTAAAATCCTCATTTTGCTTTTTTATTATACGATTTTATTGATCCATGTAAAATCCACCCATAAACGGACGTTTACTTTCGCGTTTATCTCCGCGTTAATTCGAAAACGGCGCGTCTTCTAATTTTGTAAAGAGTAAACAGGCGTTTACCTCGTGTTTACTTCCGCGTTAACGTTAATCAAGGCGCCTCTTCTATTGTTAAAAGTAAACGCACGATTACTGATTGTAGTAAACGCGTGTTAACGCAGATTGTCATCGTATCCTGACCTAACATATCACATGATTAGGTACATCAAAATGACCAACTGTCCATTTTCGTTTGACATATTGACGAGTACGGTGTATGATATTACACCTCTTTAATTAATTGAAAATGTACACATAGTTTTGCAGTATTTAATTATGGCATAATTGTTTTAAATATTTTTGTGAGTCGATATTTGTACATGTACCTTTTGAAAAGAAATATTGAAAATCCGCTATTTAAAGTTATTTGAACTGATTTTTTGCAATTAATAAAAATTAACATTTCGAATTAAAAGAATTTTTGAACTGTTACGGTTTTAAACACATATACGTAAAATATTAAGATAACAGTCATTTTAACAAAATGTACAAATGTACACGAAGTTTATTTTATAATTAGCACAATTAGTTAACGCCAAAAGTAAACGTGGGTTTACTTTCAAGTGCATGTAAAAATACACTTGTGAAATCTGTAGTAAACGTCTGTTTACTTTTAAGTGCACGTTAAAATAAACTTGTGAAATCTGAAGTAAACGCCCGTTTACTACTGACTAAACGGACACATAGTAAACGCGCGTTTACTCAGGTAGAAATTAGAAATTTCCATTTTGACCGCGTTAACGTAATTATAGTAAACACGCGTTTACTAGTAAACGCAAAAACTGAAGTTAACTAACGAAATATGCGCACGCGGCGTTAACGTGCGTTTACTTTATGTAATGCTTGTTTACTTTATGTAATGCTTTGTCTACATCTAACTGTACCATTGCAACAATTCAAATCAAAGGAAGCCTAATGGACTAAAGTACAACTACGCACTCCGAGGTGTTTAACGAGCCAGACGTCCAATATGCTTATCTTCTTTTCCATAATAAATATTTTCAAATTTGTCATTAAAACACAAGTTATTTGTTACATCCGCAATTAATACCATGGGGACTCATTAGGGTTTGTTTTTGTTATCGTTATGGGAAACAGGATACGCAAGTCAGTCAATTAAATTTCGCCTACGAATCAGGAAATCATTGTGCTTTTGAATACATTATTCATCCTGTTCTATTATATATCATTTCAATGTTGTGCAATTAATTGATTTTGATCTTATATAACACCAATAGAGATTGTCCTATCTATTATTTACATGATATCCGTATAACTTGAATTTCAATTTAAAACTGCAGTTTTATTTTGCTTTTCAACGCTACCAATCAAATTATTATTTTCAAAACTTGACAGTATAAGGGATGGGGAAAATCTACTTTCAGAATATTTTTTTTGTCCTCGGTTTGAACAGAAAATTTTTTTTCAACAATTTGGGAATCAGAGATATTTTTTTAGAAAAAAAAACAATAACCCACCCCTTGAAGTTAAATTATCGTTCCCTAAGGCAATAACTGATGCAAGCGCGTCATTTCGTTTATTGATTACTCAGTCCGTTAATCGGTGTTTACATTAAGTAACATGGGAGAGAAGTCCCTTGATCGAGAAGGCTACGGTCTGCTGAGAGAAATTTAGAATTAAGAAAAAGAAAAATTTATTTAGAAAAAAAAGAGACTGCCGTTGTGTCATGAATAATCAATAAAATAGTAAAAACAAAATTATTTCTGAACGACCTCAAAAAATTACGGACTATAATGAGTTTTCATGCGCATGAGTAGATAATACGCATATGATAAAATATAATTGGCATTATACTAATCTACTTTATAAAAAAACCTGGTGAAATATTGTAACGTACTTGTGATTGTAATATGTCACTATTTGCAAGATATTATTTCACTTGTAAGAAATTGCATCTTTAAATAGATGATAACTCAGAGCTCCTTGCGCTCCAACAGTTCTAGCGCTTTTGTCCATCAAAAAAGTATGGGTAAATAGATAGTAAAGAAAGTTTAGTATCAATATAAGTGGGAAACAATTTTCATTATTGTAGTGTAATCAACTGATTCTAATTCTTCGAATAAACTTAAGAAATTTACCGTTAAGCAGGTGCAGGATTTTATATTTTGAGCTTTTCTATACTCAGTCGCGATAAATTTTTGTTAAGATTGATGAGAGTTCTGATTTTTCTCGTCCAAGTACGTACTAATCTATGCTACAAAGGATCCGGAGCTGGGGAAAATACACTTGACATTTATATATGTTATAGCTAGCCCTTTATAGCTCTCTGTTCGGTGTGAACCAAGGCTCCGTGTTGAATGCCGTACTTTGACCTATGATTGTTTACTTTTTACACATTGTGACTTGGACGGAGAGTTGTCTCATTGGCACTCATACCACATCTTCTTATTTATAATATTATATTACCGACTTTTGACTCCAGAGTATAATAATCTAAAACAGATTACTCCTGGCCGGCTCAAACCAAATACCATAATGCCTAAGTTGCTACTTCTCCGCTAGGCACGGTACTAAGGAGCAAGAACAAACACTGGTCGACAGCAGTCACAATAATGTGTCCGGGTAAGGGGCTTGTCTTCCTGTAAACTAGCACGTAAAAAATCAGGCTCACGTGGTCGATCTTGTAAAAGGCATGCTTCATATTCATATCTCCTTTATATTTATTGTATGGGTTAAATTTGCTGCTGAACGTTTAACAACCATCCATCATCATCATGTTCTTTGTGGCGCTTGTTTGCCGTTAAATTGACGTATATACATCACACCTCTTTTTATCTATATTCATTACTACAGATTGTAAAGGTTTACCCAATACACCGCATGCTGCAGTTGATGAGCGTTTCGGACTGAGACGCAATTTAGGTACTGGAAATAAATATAAATGTAAAAAGGGATACAAAATGGAAGGAACACCTTTCGCTGTCTGCCAAAGTCCTGGACATTGGAAAGTATTGTTTAATTGCACCACGAAAGGTAAATTATTACTTGCATAGGCCAAAGGTAAAATGGTGTAAATATGCAAAAAAATAAAATAATACCAAGTAATGGCGGGGAAATAGCGATAATGTGTATTGGATCAGATATTCGTTTACCCCAGCAAAAAAGGTGTATCCTCATGCTGAACTTGATAGCTTGACAGAGTCTAGATGTTAATACCAACTACAGACAGTAAAAGTTTTAATTAACATCAATGAAATAAACCATACATCAGTTGTTCATGCGGTCACGGTTCTAATAGTCATGTCTCTATTCACGGTTCTAACGGTAATGGTTATCACGATTCTAACGGTCATGGTTCTTTTCACGGTTCTAACGATCATGGGTCTAATCACGGTTTTAACGGTCATGGTTCTATTCACGGTTCTAGCGGTCACGGTTCTATTCACAGTTTTAACGATCATGGTTCTATTCACAGTTCTAACGGTCATGGTTTTATTCACGGTCCTTACGGTCATGGTTTTATTCACGGTTCTAACGGTCATGGTTCTATTCACAGTTCTAACGGTCATGGTTCTATTCACGGTCCTTACGGTCATGGTTTTATTTACGGTTCTAACGGTCATGGTTCTCTTAATGGTTCTTACGGTCACGGTTATATTCACTCTTCTAACAGTCATGGATTTATTCACGGTTCAAACACATTTTATTATTGGGACATATAAAACAAAACATTTCTATCGATAAGCGAAACTTTTGAGCAAACCTAAAATGTGTAAACGACGCATTTATGACAATTAATAAAACTAAATATTGACTTCAAAGGATTGTGATTCTTTGTACAGGTGTTTCTTAACAGCATTATAAGTTGCAGATGTCTTTTTTGAAATTTTCATTTGTTGTACTCTGGTTCCAAATTGTTTTTCTTTAAATTGACATGTCGCTAAAAATTTCACATTTCAATGAATGAAAAATTGGCGAAAATGAAATGAGACAGAAACCCATCAACATATATAAACAAAATAAAGAGCCTATAGACTTTAAATGTCAACTTACGGTTTTTAACAATAGACCAGCATCTATACAATACGACACTGATATAAAGCACAAAACAAGGGGGAATATATTAAACAATGATTATATATGTATACCATATTCAATATTCAGTAGATGCGTGCAGTGCAAAGGGATATGAGTATAACATGACCATGAAAACGTGTATTAAACTAAAAGCTGATAAATCGAATTGGGATAATGCAAGGAAAACTTGTCAACGACAACCAGATGGAGATTTAGTTAGCATAACCACAAAGGAGAAGTGGGATGTTATTATAAAATATCTAGAAGGTAATACAACAAATATATGTTTATCTCCAGTTTATTATTTTAACAGTACTCGCAAGTTATTGACATGGTAGTATATCATTGTATTTTCACAGAATAGTTTCATATAAACAATACTAAACCTAATGCAAGTTACCCGCCTCTTGCAATAGAATAATTCGATAGGCATTTGGAAGCTTTTAAAGATATTTGCTGAAAAACAACTGAAAAAAACTTACTTGTATCGTAAGAAAAATATGAGAACAATAATTATCTAATTGCAATAAATCAAGTTGGATATTATTGTATTGGAAATGTTTCATTTAAATATGTTAGAATACAACTTTATCCTTTGACAATAACATTTCGGAAGCAATATTTAACCATATGGCATTCTAAATTCTAACATATCTAACTCAACGGAGTATTATACTAGTAGTAGAATCGAAACTGTCACATAACGCATCAAAGTAAAAACAATTTACCAAAAGAAATTATACTCTTACTCTTACAAGTGTCGCAAATGAAGTATTGTGGGTAAACCATAATTTGTTTTGAAGCGGACAACGTAAAACATCCGAGAAGCTTCATTCTTTATTAACGTCATAATAATTTGACTGCGCAAATAGCACATTTGCAGTATACACAATCACTCGGAAGTCTCGGGAGTAGAGTCAATTCAAACGACACAGAAAGTACGGGAAAATGTTTTCTTCTAGTATTATCCGTAAAAAGACATTAACCGGTTAATTAATATTTTTTACGGGAACAATTCTTCTTCCGGTAAATAGTTTATAAACAGACTTATTCACAAGGGATATAGTTACGATACTGTTGTCAAATCATTAAAAATGACAATTTTTAGAATTAATATTGACTCACTCATAGGGTCTCTGCATTAAAAATAAACACATTTATTCTAAAACTGGTTGTTGGCATGATACGGGTTATGTTCTTCTCGTATAAGTCAGGATGGCATGATACTAAACCTCTAACGGCTGGGATTGTGGTTGATTTTCATATGATGAAGACATAAGTTTTCAATCTGTTTAATTGAGGTCTGGAGCTGGCATGTCAGTAACTGCTAGTAGTCCTTTGTTAATTTATATTGATCATTGTCATATTGCTTAGTTTCTTTTCTGCTACCTATTCTAACATCGGACTCAGACTTCTTTTAAACTGAGTTTTACTGTACGTATTGCTGTGTGGTTTTTTTTTTCCACATTGCATTGCTAGAGGTATAGGAGGAGGGTTGAGATCTTACAAAATATGTTTAAACCCGCCACATTTTTGCGCCTGTCCAAAGTCATGAACCTCTAACCTTTGTTATTCTTGTGTGTTTTTAAATTTTGGTTCATTTGTGTGTTTCTGAGTTTAGTTTGGCGTCCATTTTGCTGAACTAGTATACATTATTGTTTAGGAGCCAGCTGAATCACGTCTACGGGTAAAAGATTATCTCGCTGTGCTGAATACCCATTGGTTACCTTACGCTGTTTTCTGCGCTTTGCTCGGGTTGTTGTCTCTTTGACACATTCCCCGTTTCACTACTCTATTCTATTCATATCCAGTAAATGAATTTTGAAACTATTAAGCGGTAAATATAAAAGTAAGGAGATGTGGTATGATTGCCAATAAGACAACTATCCATCAAAGTTGAAATGAAAAGTAAATGTAAGCAGTTATGGAAAACCGTATGTCCTTCAACAATGAGAAAACCCATATTAAGCATGCGTTATCCGATACGAAAAGAATCAAATGACGAAATTGATTTGATGCACGATATATGCACATTTAGAAAATCAATTTCTGGTTAGTGGTCCTCTAATACAAAGACTAAACCTAAATGCAACAAACAAAAAATAATATTGAAACGGAGCAAGAAAACACAATGTATCACGTGTTTAACTTTAAAATATTTTTAATTTTGGAAATGTTTTGTAAACCGCAATTCTAAAGTATCAATATCATAGTAAGATATACAGAAATGTTTGCTACATTGTAAGGAATATTCCACGTGGTACTTGCAGTCTACCGACGATGTAATTTCAAAACAAGATTGTATCATTAACGTATCAAAGACATATTAATTCAACCTAAATTGTTATAACTTTCTGTTGTGTTTAAAAAACTTTATAACTTTTTATTGATTAAAGTGAAAAAAAGTGCAAAACAAAAACGATAATAAATGTACAGATAAATAGATGAATTATCTAATAATAGATATAGGAAGATGTGGTATGAGTGCCAATGAGACAACTCTCCATCCAAGTTACAATTTATAAAAGTAAACCATTATAGGTCAAGGTACGGCCTTCAACACGGAGCATTGGCTCACACCGAACAGCAAGTTATAAAGGGCCACAAAAAATTAATAGTGTAAAACCATTCAAACGGAAAAACCAACGGTCTAATCTATATAAAAACGAGAATGCATTGATAAACCCGTTATGTTAAACCATCAAGTGTAACTAAAATAGTTCGGTGTAATTTTCCGCCAAATCAATCCAAAATATGCTCGGAATTTTCATTAAGGATGTTCGCTCCTCTTGTTTTTGAATTTTTGTCAGATATTCAGAATTCTCTGATTTTATCCATGTAGTGCCAATTAACATTTTTGCCCGCTAACCTCTTTTTTTCTTTTTATAATTTTATTACATATAGTATGAAAAGCCATATTTCAAAATATTATCAAATCCTTGTTAGTTTTTGAAAGAAATAAGGTGTCAATGCTAAATGTATAAAAAATCTAGAGATAGTTATTTCCCGGCAAATTTTTAATGACTTATATCTCGAAAACAAGGACACGGACCCTTCATTTTTTCTGCTTTTTTAGTTCCGTTATTCATATACTATCAATTTATAACAGTCTTTATAAAATCTTGTTATTTTGAAACAAAGGAACGAACATCCTTAAAGCAAGAGAGAAATACATTTTACCTATTTACTTTATTATCAAGATCATCAACTCTAGATTGTTAAATTTGCAAATCTTAAATAATGGAATTCCATGATGAAAAGCGTATTATCTCTTGTGAAAGAATATCATCATCAGTGAGTATGTAGGTAGACCAAGAATAAAAAAACCAGGTGACACAAAAATATCTGTAAAAGTAATTATTTCTCGTGTAGTTTAAAACGAATAAATAGGGAGTTGAGTTAAGTTAATTGTTTATAATTAAATAAAAAAAAACATGCAACAGAACCTTTTGAAAAATATTTTACTAACCAATCAGACAGGGGGAACGTTTAAAACATCGACTCTCCTTTATACTGTTATTGAAGTGTAGAGGGTGAACTTGACACGAATTTGTTTAGATTTGTTTTAGCTTCCACCTGCGTTTAAACTACATCATTACCCTCAAAACATCAAACAAAGGCTTTAATACTATTCAAGTACCAACATACCTCATCATTACTTCTGAAAAGATCCGGCCGGAACGATAAACAGCCAAGTTTGCTGTACAAATAGAGTAAATGGCAAGGTTATCCCCTCCCCTGATGTTTGTTAACTCTCTCATTTCAAAGCACTTAATCTGGTTATCAGTTTTTGTGTAATTCAGATTTTTGCGGTTTGCATATTAGTCCTTTCCAAACACACTATCATCGCTTCTTTTTCAAGTTCAATCTTGCCAGGTTGTCCCTCTGTCCGGGAGGATATATATAAAGCTTAAGAGGTATCTCAAAATAAGTAAAAATAATATCGTTTAGAATGAAAAATATTAATATGTTTCAAATTTATATTTTAGAGTCTGGCTTTAAAAATGGTAAAATATGGATAGGTCTCAAGGATAAAAAATGGATGACAGGTAATGTTTTCGAGAATGTATTCGATATTCCAGATATCACTGGCGCTGTATTTAAAAAATCATGTGGTGTTATTAAAAAGAACAAAAATGGTATGTTCACAACGGAGGAAGAAGAATGTGCACATAAAGAGATTTTTCTTTGCGAAATACTTATCATATAAAGCTTACCTCTTGCTTTATGCATAATATTCAGGATAATAATACAGAAAGTATCTTCACTTTGTCATTGGAGAGTTTGATAATGCTGATTTTGCTATTTGAATATCACAAAGATGTATTATTTCATTGTTGTATGTTATGACTTATTTCATTCGTGGTAAACATGGAAACGAAAAGGCGTATATACATCAATAAAACAGATTCCTACAGGTGAAATTCTTCAACATCTGTGGGTGTTGATGAACGTTTGATCTGGACTGATTTCGTAGTGCATTTTATTTGAATTGCAATTAATTTACGGAGTTTATTGGTGTGTAGACCAATCCGTCAGCTTACAAACATAACAAAAGTGTGTTAGTAAGATTGCCGAGGGAACTTTTCGGTGAGGTTGTTGTTCACTTTTGAATATAATGAGAAAGTTCTTATAATAATTTTTGCCGTTATGTATTTTCCGTTTTCCCTTATTGGCAAGATATTTGAAGGCCTGTTGCAATAAATAAATGACAAATTTCAAATATTTTCGTACCCATATCTGACAGAAGTTTTTTCTGTGAACATTTGAAGGTTGTTATTTGATATATGTGTAATCCCCTGTGAATGAGTGTGTTGGTGTGTAATCTTAACCTTACACTTTACACTCCAAAACTAACATGAAATAATGTGGACTTTTTTCAGATTGTGATTGATCCCGCGGAGTGTACAAATCCATACACTCCTATATGACACTTTTTCATTATTAATCTTATTTTAATATCTAAAAATGAGCAACAACATTCCGGAATTTTTAAATCAGTTTGTTTTATTAAAAGATGTTGGTGTAAACGAAATATCTCTTTTGGAAAGTCTATTGTTTATACTTGAATTACCCAAAAGTATATTGTCAAAAATTTCAACTATCACCTGTGTATGACGTCACAGTGTCAGCATACATTACATTACCTCACCTAGATGACATGAAACTTGTAAAGTGGTTTTTTTTCATTTTTTTAGAGATGTGTTCAACACTAGAAAACATGAAATATCATGTGTACTATTTCTATGCTGCTTAAATATTCATTTGACTAAAAACATCGCCAGTATATTGTTTGGTTCATCGTTGGTCAATATTTTTAACTTTTGGGTATTATATTTTTTATATTATTGTATGCTTTTCCTTTCTTTTGTTAATGCCATTTTCTATATTTTTATAACTTTTGAATGATTCTTTTATATCTTTTATTTCGTACACTGATAGATTACCATATATAAAGATATTTCTATTATTAAACACACTTTGTTGATTCTAGATTTATCTGATTTTATTTTTTGCTTTTGAGTTAAGTACTTGGTTTCATTAATGTATAAATGACCGCAATTCTTCTTTTGTGTATATGTACTTTATTTAATAAATGCTTAAAATTAACCCAGCGGCTTTGATAGTCCTGTTTAGGCCTACCTGAAATATTTTTTGCTGTCCAAATGTTTAGGTTTTTTGCCCACTCATGCAATGTTACAATTTATTACTCCCTAAATACGAACCCCACCAAAAGGTTGGGGTGATCTCATGTGCTCGGGAGGAGGAGTAAGCAGATCCTGATCCACATGTGGCACTCGTCGTGTTGCTCATGTAAGGACAAACCAGGTGATATGTCTATTTCGGTAGATTACATCTGGGGAAGGATAACCAAAATAAGTAAAGACTTCCATATACAAAAATCAATATAACAACTATTGTCAATATTGGTAATATTGATTTCAATAAAAACCAAGAATGCTTCAAAATTAGGTGTAAGCTCGTCTAGAAAAAGAAGGATATGCAGATATGGACTTTGTTCTACTGACACATTTCTGAACATTCGTGCTAAAAAAAAATCTCAATGAAGCTGCAAAGGATTTCATCATTCACTTTGAGAGTTATATCTCCTTGAAACAATTTCTTTCATTTGCCTTTTGCTTTAAACATAGTACAGATAGAATAGATTTGAAAATGGAAACATGTACAGGAACAGATGGCAATGTTGATAAACATAAACAATTATTTTGTTATGAACCCTTATATGAGTTATTTCCCTTGAATTATCATTACACAATTTTTCACTCGACAACCGGAAGTCGTGGAAACTTTGAATTTTCACCAATAATCTTTAGTTCATGTGACCTTTCATTGCAGCCAAGGTCATAGGTCACCGAGTGCAAAAAAGTTTTTACCCTGACATTTCAAGCTTAGATATTTTAAAAGAAAACGATAAGAGATTGCTGCATACATACAGCGTATGCAATGTTCCCCATGAGGAACTCTACATGTTATACATTAGGCTCAAAACAGTCCGACCATCCGTTCAAAATTTACGAGATAATTCTTAAACGTATAGTATTTTGTGTATATATTCTTATCGGTAATTTGTATATTTTTCCTTTGATGTGTACTCGCTGATAATGTCAGTATCAGTGGACTGGTCGTGATAAAAAAAAATATTGGTCAGTTCGCAATTGACATGCGCGAGTGCACCGCGTAAGGATCTTCTTTCTCTTTCATTCACTAAATCGCTTGTGATTTTTTTTCGCAGAAACGAAGGGGTTTTTTGGTGAATGAAACCCTTGTCATTGTTTCAGTAAAGTTAGTTTAGCTTTTTTGAACGATTTCGTCTAAATTGTGTAAAAATTGGAACAGAAAATATACGGAAAAAACGATAAACTTTAAATATTTGTTTTATCGGCAGTATTATTGATAGCTTTCCTTACTATTCCGATCCCAGTTTCATTTTAAAAGCTTGAATGTTAAATAGTCTAGTGCTGTTCCAAGGTGTCTTCATTTTTTGTTTCTTGAGAAAAAAATTGTTCAACCTTTTCAGTCACTATTAAGTGTTACAATTCATATTTGGACGCAACACATAAATGGTGACAAAAAAGGTACCGCTTTGCAGGGGAGAAGCTAAAAAACAAATAAAATATACACACTTTCGACATTTTTAGTGGGACTATCATATAAAGTTAAGGAGATGTGGTTTATTTGCCAATTTAAACACAGCTATTCGTAGACCAAAGAACAAATAAATGAACAAATAACAGGTTACCGTAGGGCCTTCAACGTTTCATATCTCTGGCCCAGGTTGAAAAATAAATAACATGACTTCGAAAAAACTACGAAAAGCGGAAGTAAAAGAAACCAAAATTGAGTTACATCTATTGAAATGTTTGACATGATTATGAGAGCGACCAGAAATGAGCTTTGTGATAATTTACAGTCAGCCTACAGTACCGTGAGACTCGTTGGTCGTTGCCCACACCTGAAAAAAATTAAGTGTCTGCTTACACAGTGCTTTCCTAAAAAACAACGTGATCGTCTTCAGGATGAACGCTAGGCGTATAACGACAAAATAAATGTGATTTTAAAGCAAATTACCAATCTGATAATAAGCAAGCTGGTCTAAGTCAACGATTTTACTTGAACTTCTAACACAATGACAAATCTGCTGATTCAGATCGTATCATACTATGCTATGTGAAAAATAAAGAAATTTGACTTACCCGTCAGGCATGGGGTAATGCAAATTAGTAATTATTATGCATGATAATGCATAACATTTTTCCAAGTAATTGCATGTAATGTGTAATGCAGCAATTTTTGCATTACATGTAATTGTAATTTAATACATTACTTTAGCAAAAAGTTGTGTAATTTCATTCATTACATTGCAATACCTGGAATTACTTTTTTATATATATCTTTAACGGATTGTTGGTGATTTAACTAAATAAAGGCAACAGTAGTATACCGCTGTTCAATAGCCATAAATCGATTAAGCGAAAACAAATCCGGGTCACAAACCAAAACCGAAGGAAACACATCAACTATAAAAGGAAAACAACGGAAAAACAGAAACACTGAACTGCTACAAAAACAAAAGCCAACATACATAGAAACGGACTATTTGATAACAACTGCCTGACTTGGTGCAGGACATTTTAAGAAAAAATGGTGGGTTGAACCTGGTTTTATTGCTAGCCAAACCTCCCGCTTATATGGCAATGTTACAAAACCTGCTAAAAATGGCAACATTACATGACAGGAATACAGTACAAATAAATGCAAGAACACTCAGAACAGAGAAATACATAAATAAATAATATTATAGTACCTTACAATATGTAAACCACAGAAAAACAACGGACGCCTCCCATTAATTGACGACAGTACACCACTTCACCACAATAAAATTATGAACAATGCGTCTAACGAATGTATCAACGCCACAAAAGGTGACGTCACAGGTAAATTTCTAAAAAAAGAATATTAAAATTGGGATTAAGCTTGTAATGGTGTTATTTAATGTATTTTCTAACCATTACAAGAATATTAATATAGAATTGTGTTAGTTATGGTGTAATTATTTGTATTTTCTAACCATGTCGGTTTCTCTTCTAAATCAAAACTGTGTAAAAACAAACAAATCCTGTGAATATAGTTGCTTTAAACTAAAAATCATATAAATGAACTAGCCGATTAATTATCTTAACTTTTACATACATATAGAAAATAAAAATAGAATTCAAACCAAAAACAATAAGACATAACACAATATCTAACCAGACTTACAAAAGAAACATCATAACTAAATACATGAACGTTGGATGTATAAATACCGAGACACGTCTAATAGTAATGCGAAAATACACTCGGCAAAACAGTCATATTCGGGAATAGGTCACGTTTGGTACTTAGCAGACCAGACGACGTAGATGGTATACCACAATCTAAGACGTGATGGTAAAAATGTCGTTAATTAGTTTAGATACAGACACATTGTACAGATCAACCAATTCGAGATGGTGTCCATAAAATTTACGGAGTTTCATTTTTAATCTTTCCTCCTCATAACTCTGTTAGATCAGTTTCTGCGTAAGGAGCACACTCCTGTATATGAAGTCTGTATAGTGTGAACATGCACGAGCATAACTGAGATATGTAAACCAGAATTTAAGATTTCTTGATTAACTACGAACATAATCATTTGAATATTGATTTTCTATTTTCTATTTATTTTTCACACTTTACATGAATCACTAGAGGAAATTTGGAGATTAAGACTTGCCCCAGGTAAAACTTGAGAAAAAATGGTTAATTTACTTGATTTCTTGATTGACAACATATTTGTTACGTTTGGAGGACGTGTTTTACAACAGACTGTCGGAATTCCAATGGAAACCAATTGTGTCCCTCTTCTTGCCGACTTGTTTCTTTATTATTATGAGGCTGACTTCATACAGGAACTTCTTAGGAAGAAAGATAAGAAGTTAGCAATATCCTTTAACTTTACGTTCCGCTATATAGATGATGTTCTCTCACTAAATAATACAAAATTTGTTGGCTATGTTGAACGAATCTATCCCATCGAACTAGAGATAAAGGATACTACAGATAGATACAGTTAAGTCTGCCTCATATCTTGACTTACATCTAGAAATTGACAATGAGGGTCGGTTGAAAACAAAACTTTACGACGAAAGAGATGATTTCAGATTACCAATTGTGAACTTTCCATTTCTATGTAGCAACATTCCCGCAGCGCCTGCATACGGAGTATATATCTCCCAATTGATACGATATTCCCAAGCTTGTATTTCCTATCATGATTTCCTTGATAGAGGATTACTGCTCACAAAGAAGCTATTAAACCAAGAGTTCCAAATGGTGCAGTTGAAATCATCCCTTCGTAAATTTTACGAACGCCATCACGAGTTGGTTGACCGTTATGGAATAACCGTTTCACAGATGATATCGGATATGTTCCTTATGTCGTAACTACAATACCTTTCCCTTTTCACGAATGTGACTTACCGAATTAGACTATTTACCGGATTTGTAATAACATAAGCAACACGGCGGGTGCCACATGTGGAGCAGGATCTGCTTACCCTTCCGGAGCACCTGAGATCACCCCCAGTTTTTGGTGGGGTTCGTGTTGCTTAGTCTTTAGTTTTCTATGTTGTGTCATCTGTATTATTGTTTGTCTTTTTATTTTTGGCCATGGCGTTGTCAGTTTGCTTTCGATCTATGAGTTTGACTGTCCCTCTGGTATCTTTCGTCCCTCTTTTAGTGAAATGTGATCATTTTGCTGAAGAATTTGTTATATTGAAGAGACATGTCGAATTCTCTAGATCATTTTGACTATCCTGGAAATATTGATGATAAGATAATTGAACATTGTCATAAAACACTAAATAGTTTGTTTTACAATCAATCTTTTCACCATTTTGACACTTGGTCATAAATCAAGTTCTATGTTTATTTTATAATTAGGAAAAGAAATTCTCAGTAAATATTTTGATTGTAATTAAAAAAAACAAATGTATATTTATAAAAGTAAAGTTAACATTAAGTTAAAATAAGTATTGAACTTTATCTCTGTAAATTCTTTTTAG